CCCGAAGAGGTTTAATAAATTGGGGACCCAATTTCCCCCTCTTCCTGAAGCGTATCACACCTTCCACGGTGAGACCTTTTGGAGCACCATATCGCCGACCTGAAACTCCAACTCTGATCAGCGCCGGTCGATATAGTTCTTCTGCCGACTCTAAGCGGTCTGCTATCTTTTTGCTGATCTGCTGTATAAGCTCCATGGTCTGAAGGACTACTTCGATCCTTCCTATAACCTTGTGACCGACATCTCCCCAACAAATCGGGGTGCGACATCTCCGACCATATAAGAGCTTAAATGGCGGAGCACCAATGCTGGAGTGATAACTGTTGTTGTAGGAGAACTTCGCAAGAGGTAGGTAGGAATCCCAACTCACACCAAAATCAATAACATAGGCCCGCAACATACCCTCAAGGGTCTGAATAGTCTGCTCATTCTGGCCGCCAGTCTGCGGATGATATGCAATGCTGAAATGTAACCTCGTGCCCAATTCCTCATGAACTTCTGCCAAAATAGACCAATAAGAATTTATTAAAAAATAAATTATTATTTAATCAAATAAAGATAGATATTAAATGATATCCATAAATATATTTTATCTTTTATGGAAACTAATTAAATTCGCATTAATATAAGCAATAATACTCCTTTAGAATAAATTCGCATTTAAGTTTTTATGTATGAGTTCGTGTTTTGTTTCAGGACCCACTCACTTAAAATAAAATAAAATTGTATGTAACATAGAAAACGAGTGTGTATTCTAATAGAATGAGAATTTATTCTTGCAGAATTAGAGCGTATTCTAGTAGAATGAGAGTGTATTCTACTAGAATACAGTCTCGGTCTCCATGTTCCATACAACTTTATTGTATTTTATGTGACCGAGTTCTGAAACAAAACATGAACCCATATATGAAAACCTAGATGAGAAATTCATTCTGAAAGAATGTTATTGTTGACATTAATTACAAATTTAATTTGTTTCTATAAAAAGAATTATAATTATGGATATCATTTAATATAAATATAATTATGAAAATTATTTAATATCTTTTTTTATTTGATTAAATAATAATTTAATTTTTACTAAATTTTTATTGGTCCATTCTAACATAAAATAGAAATAAGGAACACATGAACCTAACCTCTCTTTATATATATATATATATATATATATATATATATATATATATATATATATATATATATATATATATATATATATATATATATATATATATATATTATGCTTGCCGACAGCAAATAGAAATTTTATAGACTGGGAAAAAGAAAAAGAGTTATAGACTTATGGGTGTTTAAATTGTGTGCATTTTAGTTACTATAATATTTCTTGTTTAAATTCACGAATATCCATTTTAGCTTCATTGGTTAACTTGAAGATGCTATCCCAGTTTGTAAAATATATATTTATGCTAGTCTTATATATAGGGTTGTGCTATAAGTATCCCTCTTAACCAAGGTTCTAAAAAGCTCGATATGGCTCCGCCATGGCGTGCTACGACTTCAAGACTTGCACCTGCCGCAAAGCTTTGCCAAAACGTCGCCTTAACTCATATATGTGTATAAAAATGAGAAATAGATGAAAATACATATACAAATATTAATTATATAGAAAATTGTCGCCTTAAGTCACATCTTATAAACGTCATGACTCGTCAAGGCTCGGAAAAGCTTGAGGCTTGACATTGCCGTTAAGTCACGCCTTACGTTATTTAGAACGTTGTCATTAACTGATTTTACCCCTTAATATTAATCTAATCAACTTTTACATTTGATTTGACATCATTTTATTTTATTTTTTTATTTTTTTTTCCCTTTTTGTATTTTGTTGTTTTTTCTTTTAATAATAATAATAATAATAATAATAATAATAATAATAATAATAACACAACAAAAAAAAGAAAAAAAAAAAAAAACCAAAAGACAAAAAGTCAAATCATGGAGGATGAAATTGGAAAAGGGTGAGGATCCTTAGACTAAAGGGAATAGGGTGTCAAGAACCCTCGCTAAACATGCTAAGTCCAAATGCACACCACCCCCTAGCCCTTGCTAAGGGGAATGCTAAGATAAATTCGTCAGATCTTTAGCGAGAGGAGAGAGAGAGCTTGATTCTTGGTGGAAATTAATTCTAGTGGATTTAACATTCAAACAAAATTCAATTCCACCCCCTTCCTTTTTATTAATAAATCCGATTTTTTACACCCATTCAATTAAAAGATCAACTTTTTACTAATTTTTTTTTTTTTTTTTTTTTTTTTTTTTTTTTTTTTTTTTTTTTTTTTTTTGTGAATACATCTGATTTTTTCCCAATATAATTTATATTATATTAATTGTTTGTGGTATAAAAGAATAAAGTGTGTTTAATATTTGTGAACAAAAAATGTTTGTATATTTAAATAAATTAATTTAATTTAAAAAATATATTTTATTTAATATTAAAAAATGTTTGTTTATTAAAATAAAGTAATCAAAATAAATTAGAAAAAAGGAAAAAAATGAAATATTAAGAGTATTACCACTCCCTATCAAATGTTAAGTTTAGGTGTTAAAAGGAAAAAAATGAAGTGTCATTCAAAAAAGGTGACGTGGCAAAATATTAAGAGTATTACCAAGGAAGTTGTAGGAGGAGGTAAAGGGGATCATCTTATTTTGTGGTTAGAGCTTTTGGCGCAGCATAAAAAGATCTCCTAAGCTTCTTAAAAATTGAAGTAATCATTTTTCTTAAATTCTATGTTTTATAAGCATAAATTGTTTTTTTATAGCTAAATTTAGTATGAAAATTTTTAGCAAGCTGGTACCCGGTTTCGGAACCGATTCCGGTGGTTTCGGGAACGGTTCCAAAATCTTAGGAACTGGTATAACTTGTTTTGGTTCCGGTTCCAATATCATAGGAACCGTCGGTTTCAGTTTTGGTTCCGGTTCCAGAATATTTTGACAAGTACCCGTTTATGTTTATTCCTAGTTATATTGAAGATCTTCAAAAATTAAAAAAATATATACATAATTATTTTTTGATATTATAAATAGTTAATGGTACTGTGTGGCTGCGCCAAATATAACACAAACTCTTGTTATTTTGATGCCAAAAAGAAAAAAAAAACTTTGATGAGTTGAAGTTGGTCTTAGAGATATTAATTATGGTTTATAATATGGTGTAATTAAATTCTTATTTATGTAATGAACTAATGCTACATTAGATATTTATTAAATATTAATTTGTGCACCGTTCCAAAAAAATATTAATTTGTGCAAATAAAGTGGTGTTCTTGACGAAACATATAACTATATTTTCGTATATGACAAAAATAAATAATGATACATTAGATATTTATTATATATTAATTTGTGCAAATAAAGTGGTGTCCTAGACGAAACATATAACTATGTTTTTTCTTCTATGACAAAAAGTGCTACATTTTAGTTGCATTATAACAGTTTCATAAATAGAAACAAAGAAATATTATTGTATAAATTGAAAAAAGAAATATAAATGTTGTATAAATGAAAGGTGATTGGATATTTAATTAAAAAAACCATTTTCTTATATTATGTGAAATTTATATGATATAACATTATATATACAAGTATAATATTTAATTTATTATTTTGTAAATAAGGTTTTAGATTAATACTTTAATTATATTTTGTTAACTTATTTATCAAATTAAACATTGCCTACAATCTGAAAATGATGAACCAGTCAAAGAGAGTTGCTAAAACTACTAGTAATAAAAAATATAAAGAACGTCTCACAACCAATTCTCCAATAGAATAAAAAAAATCATATCATAGATGTTTAATGTTATTTTACCATCAATTTGTTTATTATTTATAATTAGTTTTATCTTTGATATTGATTCACACCTACCCATTAATGTTTAGCCAATAATGTATATGACACTGCCAACTGACAAGTTGGTTTTTGAATGTGTTCCAATGATCAACTTGAAATATAAAAGAATCATATTCCAATAAAATATCATTTTATATTCTGTAGGTATAAAAATTCACGTCTACATTTTCTTTAATAACACATCAGACATTATTGTAAAGGGTGGGAGTCGATCTAAAACCCACTTTCACAATTTCAGGTATTTTCTAACTTCTGATCATATTGACATGATCCCATTTTAGTTATATATATTAATGATTTCATTGGGCAGTTTACTAAGCAAGCAATTGAAGACATGAGCACACCACCTACAGGTTTAGCTCCAACAAGCCACCAGCAGCCGCAGCAACCACCACCGGCTGCGCCAACCATCCCCGGCAACCACCGCCGGCTGCTGTAAATTTCGGGGCAACCACCACCAGGCTGCTACAAATGCCCGGCAACCACCAGCTGCTGCTTCTAATACT